AGCTCTCGCCAGGACTACGGATCAAATTAGAGCTATGTGCTTCAATCCGGAACTTACAAACTCGCGTAAACAAATTAAAATAGTAAAATAACCCAAAATAAAATGAAATGAAATCCGGAGCCGGCCATGAATAGTAACCGACCCGTCAGAACCCAACCGAAATAGCTAACAAACATTCACAACTGAACTTTAGCGTTTACAAATCAAAATGACATACAAAAGCTTTCAAAAGTTAATACATATACACGGTTTGCCAAATCAAAAGAGAAAACGTCCCAAAAGTACACTTAGGGTTTTAATACATGAGCTATACAAAAGATATGTTCAACTAGCTCAATTTGGCAGTCATTTGTCAAATCCAGACCAAAAGGGGTTTATTTTCCTGTAAGGAAAACAAAAGGAACAGAAAGGGGTGAGCTTGCGCTCAATGAGGTACCAAACAGATAGCATTAAAATCGTGGCATTTCACATTTAACAAATCAGATACACATGTCAGATGTAAAGCAAAGGAACCAATGATTCAAATCAGAAGGATACGGGTGGCTCTCAGGAGCCAAATTTCCAGCGCAGTACTTGATCCAAACCGGTTGACTCTCCGTCAACGTATATAGAACCAACGCGTCCGTAGACCCCTCTTAACACCGAATTCCGTCCACCAAACACCCCTTTACCGGGCCCGCTCACCTCAAACGAACAAAATGGTAATACTCGAGTATACCCGGAATCATGGGTCTCAATACCTAAAATCCCCGAACAGACTACCGTGGTTCGTTATCTAATCGTCCAGGCCCTTGCCGGCCCGACTCGAATAACTTAGCCACAGGACTGAGCTCATAGGTCATAGAAATCCGAACAGATGCAGACACAGATAACAGATTCAAATTTTACATAGTAAATTGGCATATGAACAGACAAGAGAACGAGTGTGATAAAGTCTACCCTCGTCTCAAACAAATAAACAGATTGCAGAGCAGAAATCAAGTTAAACAGCAATGGAGGGGAGTGGTACACTCACCGGCTCAACTTCAAAAGTTTTTACTTCAGATTGGCCTTAATCGCCAAGAAACCCTAAAATAATCAAAATAAACCAATTGAAGGTTTCACATCCATAATCGAATAAACGGAATGCACAAATGAGGCTCGGCTACAAGTCGTACGCCTTGCCAAAGAAATACTAATGCAAGGGTGGAAAACATGATTTTCTTGGAAACGAAAAGGTAACATGAAGACTTAGGCGCAAACAACCCAAAAGCCTTTCATTTCCACCAAAAGGCAAATCCAACTTAAAGGAACCAAACGGCCTAGAAAATCGGGCAGCACCTCCCCTAAAATTCTTACTTTTCCAGCCATTAAGGCTTCATTATTTCCTCAAATCAGTCCCAACATTTCACACAAAAGTCATCTCATTTACCAAAAGCCGTTCACTAGGCTCAAAGTAGTACAAGTACAAAAGTTAGCTAGGAAATGACTGGAATGAGAGCGAGCCCTAAACATGCAAACAAGTACATGGAGACTCGATAACGAGTCATAAAGTCATGCCAACCACAACCCCAATAAGGTTTCATATGCATATATAAGCATTATAGCAAACCAGAAAATCAGGAAATGTAACTCATTTGTTCCAACAACAAAAACAGTTTTGACCTCCTAATGCGGTAATGGCACAAAATTCGCTACGCTTATCGGATTAGGGTGTAAGACCCACCGTTTCGAAGCTAAGAACTAAGGCTACAACAATGTAGAAGGCCACCCAGTCCAAATCCTAGCACAAATAGGTCAAAAATGCAGAATACCAAACCAGGACCGTAATTGCAGGTTCACAGATCACATAATGCTGTAATTGGTCTAACTCAGTCTATACAGGTCCAAATGCATTGATTCCAAAGGAATATGATAGCTAAGACATTCAGCTACATTTCATCAGAAGACACCAACATCCAAATCCGAAGAAATTCCAGTCAAAATGGCCAATTACAAGTGCAGTTTTCGCATTCTGATCAACCCAGAACAGAAACAGTAAAATCGACATATCTCTCTCCACACTACTCCAAATGACCTGAAATTTTACAGGCACCTCAAACACATCAATACCTACAACTTTTATGTTTTAAGAAAAGTCCAATTCGGCCTCTAACCCTATGATCCAAAACCGGACAGAATAAGGGGTGATAAAACCCTAACTTTCCACAATTCAATCCAAACCCAAAATTGGTTGCAATTATCACTAATTCACACCTACTAGAGTCATTCCCCCTCATTATCAACCATCATAGATGACCACAACATCTCATTCATATTAAACCAGAAAATTCCTCAAAAATATAAAAACTTCACCAAATCACTTCAAATCAAGAAATAATTCACATAATCCATCACTTTAGCTACTACTAAGCATCACTTAAGCATCATTAGGTGTAGTAGGATGTTCAACCATCACTTACCTAGGAAACAAGAGAAGAGGAGTTGTAGACCACCTTAGCTCTTCCAAAAACTTCACCAAACTCACCACTAACACAAAAAGGCAAGATTGTATGGAGTAGAAACTAATTTATGTGATTGATTTTGGAAGATTGAGCTAGTTGGAAGCTTGAAATGTTGAAGAGTTTTCTTCCTTCTTGCAAGAGAGAGGGCCGGCCATCAAGGAGAAGAAATGGTGAATTTTTAGTGATTTTTTGAAGATATTTAACTCAAATGGGTCAAAAGTCAAAAAGGTGAATAGTAACTCTTAAGTCAAAACCAATGTAGTGGTGACACTTGTCACCTTCATAAATGAAATCTTATCTTTCTTTTTCCTCTCACATCAATCAAATATCACTCTCTACTTATCTCTTAACACCCGATAAATTTTACACAGTATCCGAAACTTAACCTTATTGGCCGAATTTTTCCGAACTTTTCGTACTAGTGGGTCCCACGTCCAATATATATTCTTAATTTTTCAAAAACTCTCCAATACTAGAAAACCCATCTAAAAACTATAACTGCTCATAAAATCCACCAAGAAAATATTTCTAAGCCAGAAAATGCAGAAAACATGCCATTAAAGGAAATAAACCCTAGGAAAATTTTTAAGAGATTTACGGGTTCTCACATAAACACTGTGCATTTCATTGAATTTGAAGGTAAAGGATCATAACATGCGACTTAACAAGAGATCCAACATAAGATTTGCATTGAAAAGCATTTGATTGAAAATTATTTACAAAACTGAAAGGCAAAAGATAAATAATGCGAATAAGTTCTTTCATGGCGATCAAAGGCAATTCCCCAGATTTACCGAAATTCCCTTCGAGAGGGAAGGAAATCACTAGTCCAATTCTTCATTGTTTCGGTAGCCACCTCTAGAAATTCTGAGTCCTTCAATGGCTCCCCTTCAGAAGCAACCCCCACAAATAGCTCAGACAATCCAACTTCCACTTCCTTGATTGGGTCTACTTTAGCTCTAATCACCTCTGATGGGTAAGGAAAAGTACAATACAATGGTGGGATATTCATGATAAGTTGCCTTCCTTCCTTTTCCGCCTTTTTGCGATTCATCATTTCCTTCTTATCCTTGATAGTAGGTTGAAACCCCAATCCGAAGGTGTCCTTCTTTCCCTGAAGCTCTATTGGTTCCAAAACTCCCTGTAGGTTGCGCCCGAGGCCCTTGCCCATCTCATATCCTCCTCGAATCATCTCTTTAGCCATCATAACACTAGCTTCTGGCAAATTCATTTCCACCACTAGCTTTTCCTTAGATATCCATCATACGGAAACAATGTCAGCCACATGGTGAGGAGAAAACAGAGATTTTTTACTATCCTCCTCATTTGGTCCAGAATTAACAATCATTGTGCAATCGTCCTCTACAAAAACTGTGATCAATTGACCATTCACCACAAATCTCAGCAATTGATGAAGTGAAGAGGGTATAGCGCCCGAAGTGTGAATCCAAGGCCGTCCAAGGAGAATGTTATAAACACTTGAAAAATTCATGACTTGGCACATGACTTGAAATTGGGCAGGTCCGATTTCCAGCACTAAATCCACTTCTCCCATTGGTTCCCTTTTTGCGGCATCAAATCCTCTCACCACGGTGGTTGACGGCCGCAATTTAGCCTCTTGAAATCCTAACTTAACCAAGGTATTCCAGGGACAGATATTGAGAGCAGATCCATTGTCTATCAGAACCTTCGGCAAGAGTTTCCCGTTACAGCGGACTAAAATATACAAGGCTTGTTGTGTCCAATCCCCTCGGTAGTTATATCTTCGTCAGAAAAAGAAATCCAATTGGAAGCCAAAACATGTTCAACTACATTGGTGAATTTGTCAATTGGAATATTTTTAGGCACTTGAGTCTCAGTTAAAACCTTGACCAGAGCTTCTCTGTGAAGTTCTGAGGTTAAGAGCAGATTTAATATGGAAATTTGAGCGGGCATCTTGTCCAATTGCTCGATCACCTTGTACTCGCTCTTCTTTAACATCTTAAGGAAATTAAAAGCCTCTTTATCGGTCACAAATGGTTTTGTTGGCATAGCACCTTCTTTTGCTTTTGAGGATTCATCAACTGCGGGTTCTCCTATGATTCTCCCTGATCTAGTGATGGCATCCACTTCCTTTTTGGGCACCTTCTCTCCTCCAATTAACAATGTAGGTTCGCTATAATTCCACGAGACCTCTTGTAAATTAAGAATAGGAGCTTGCTCAGGCAATTCAAGTACCACGAGCTCCAAAGGCTCACATTCAAAAGGTATCATTTCCAAAATAAAAGGATCAGTATTTTCTTTAACTTCATAGGCTTCCTCCTCCAATATGAATGGTTCTCCAATGACCCCCATGATCTTGGCCTCGTCTACAATGTACTGTATAGGTTTCTTAATCTCTTTCTCTATGGTGACAGCTCCCACAATATCCTTGTGCTGAGGAAGAGGATTGTTGCTAACACTTGGCCTTTGTTCATCCTTCCTTCTCAGAACTATGTCTCCAGCATCAATCATATCTTGAATTTTATGCTTAAGCACTCAGCAATTGGCCGTTGAATGTCCAGGGGCTCCCGAATGATAAGCACAAAATGACTGAGGATCATAACCAATGGGAAATCCCTTGGAATAGGTCTTAGGGGGTACCATACCAATCTTCCTAGCAGCTTTTAATTGCTTGTACAACTGGTCAACAGGTCGACTTAGATTGGTAAAGGTTCGGTATGGGGTTGGATTTTGGGTATCATGGGTTTGTTGGTACTGGTAGTTTGGGTTAGGGGGTGGAATAGGTCTTGGGTTAAAAGGAGGGTGAGGTCTAATTTGAAAGTTTGGTGGGGAAATGTGAAATGGCGTTGATGGTGTGTTTGGGTAATTTGGTCGAGGATGGGGGTGGTTGATAGTGGTATTGTAAACAGGGCGGGGGCGTTGTTGGTATAAGTAACGAGGTGAGTAGGCGGGATTTTGTTGGTATCTAGGCCGGGAAGAAGATCCCTGGTTCCAAACAAAAGAGGCTTCCTCGTCTTTCTTCTTAAATTGAGACTTCTTACTACTGTTACTTTGGCTTTGCATGGCTTCCAACTGTGACTTCAAAGCTGAAACATTAACAATTTTCCCTGCTCTCATAAACTCGTCATATTCTTCCAATTTATTGACAATCTCTGCAAAGGAACACCTTGTCATTCGAAAAATCTCCTCAAAGTAAGGCGAGTCATGAGTTTTGATGAACGTGCGAACAATCTCGTTTTCAGTCATAGGAGGCTCCACCTTGGCGGCCAATTTCCTCCATCTCTTCGCATATGTCTTATGGTCTTCCGATGGTTTCCTTTTGGTCCTCTCCAATGTGGTCCTCGTCGGAGCGAACTCGCAATTGTATTCATACTGCCTCACAAAAGCGGTCGACAAATCCAGCCAAGATCTCATATCCTCAGACTTCAAATTGGAATACCAATCCAATGCGTCGTCTTCTAGACTCTCGGGAAATAAGTGTACCGGCAGATTCTCTTCGTCTATTGGTCTCCCTAGCTTGTTCGCAAACATTCGAAGGTGAGTCTTGGGATTCCCCGTTCCGTCGTACTTGGTAAATTTGGGTGCTTTGAAACCCACTGGCAATTGCATATCCGAAAACAGGCATAGTTTGTTGTAGTCTAGACCTCCTTGCTTGTTCACACCTTGGCATTTTCTTATAAACTCCTCAAACCGATCTAATCTCTTTAGTAAATTTTTGTCCACTGGTGCGGATGACTCCCCAGCTTCAGCTTTCCTTTGAGCGGCGGTATCTAGGGTGAATGGCTCAGCGGCGGAGTAATAATGGGGTCCCTGTGGTTCGAATGGCATGCTCATAGTAATTGGCGGATAATTTTGGGGAATTGGGACATGAGGAGGGTTAGTTTGGATGTGAGGTGCATAAGTAGGTGGCGGGCCATGAATGGGATAAGTAAAGGCTTCCTCAGGTGGGTTTATAACTTGTGAAGTAACAGAGGTTTGAGTATAAGGTAAGAATATGGGTTGAATTTCAGATTGGCCAGGGGGTAAGGGCTCATGTTGTTCACCGCTAGCACCACTAGCTACCAATTGATCGATTACGCGCCGTTGGACAATCATTTCAACGCTTAGCTCATTAAATTGGTTGAGAACTTCGCTCAGCTGAGCTCCTAGATTCGCCAAATCAGTTGATGATATCGTTGCGGGCCTATCAGATGGTTCTGGATGGGTACTCATGTTTACACTTTCTCTCGAAGCTCGGCTACATGATCGGGTGATAATGGGGCTTCTTCGTGTAGTTATGTTTAAATATTACCTGAAAATTTTGAAAGGAATTGCCTTTAGATTTAGCCATCACTTAGCCTTTCCAACAAAAATAAAATAAAGAAAAAGAAAAAGACAAGAGTTTGTAAATATCCAAAAAATTCGGATGCATGTCCTATGGGGGAACCCTTTTTATGCCAAGGGTAGGCCTAGCATGATGCAGCACCTTCGAAATGGGACCCGTTACACAAACCTGTTTTTTACAACAATTTTGTACAAATGCAAAGAAAATGTCGATTTCATTGATAAGCTTGCCAATATGTTTACATCATGTCACGAAGACGATTCCGTACAAGATTGCCAAAATTTCTAAGCCTATCTAATACAGAATCCCTAGTTTCTCTAGCATATGGAATTCTAACATGTTCAGTTTGATCATACAATTTTCCGCATTTCCTTTTCAGCTCTTGACACTTTTCTCACTCATTCTCATACAATTGCTTGTTTTGCTCTGCTATCCCCTTGTATGTTTCGACAGACTTACTTAACTGCAGAATTTCCTTGTCCTTTGCTTCGATAATGGCTTTCAACTTTTTCACCTCCTCGGCTGGTTCATCTTGTTGGCCTTGTGCAGTGAATCTTCTTACCCAGTCTTCATATTGGGGAGTCGTCAACCCCTTTTGCTGGAGTTCCGGGACGTATCTAAAACACTCGTCATCAGATAGTGTCACCCATGCTTCAATGATCCGGTCTTTCATAGGGAATTGGTTTGGGCACGTTCCTTCATTAAAAATAATGGTGAGTTCACTCATATCAAGTGCAGGCGGCACTTCTTGGGTACGTCCTAACTGTCTGAGAAACCTCTTTGAGGTGTATGCGGTGATTCCTTGGGTACCCAGTAGGAGAACAAATTCGGATGCCTGGGTGCGAAGAACAGGTTTAATACAATTGGTCCAATCCAATACCCATCTAATATTTTGATCGGTCACATTCTTCAAGAAATCCACAAACTCAGATGCATTACATGGCAGACTATCTCTACTAACCCTCTTGTGATGTGTGATTATCCAGTTGTACGCAGACATTGGTAGACTCACGGGAATAGACGATCGTCTCATGAAGTGCTCCATCCCCCATACATGTAAGATCAAATTTAAACCACAAAAGAACTTTTTCCCTTTTTGACAGGTAGTGCAGGCTACGAAAATATCGGCCAAAATTGTCGGAATAATAGAACACAGCTTATCTTGGATTCCTAGAAACAGGTCATACAAGATTTTAGTGAGCTTAAAGGTTATCTTTTTGTCTCTCCTAGGGAAAAGATAGGTTCCCGCCATAACCAATTCATACACCCAAACTCTCTTTCGATCCCACATTTCCTTGGAAGCAAACGCGAAATCCCCTAGATGCCTCTCAAAACCATCCCTTAATGCGAATCGATCAAATAAGAACTTTGCCTCTATATTTTGGTCCGACCCTTGTATTACTAATTCCCCTAACCCGGTGAAACGACAAAACTCGGCCTTGTTAGATACTAATGGGAATATCACGGCAGTTCTCTGAATCGGCAAATTGAGAAATCCAGCGACCTCCTCAATTGTTATGGTCACTTCCCTTTTTCCTAACCTAAAAGCGGAACAAATAGGGTCCCATAGATGCACCAAGGCTTCTACCAAATAGCTATCAGACTTAATGTGCTTGAAATCCCCGATGTGTCCTAATCGAGCAGCTACTTGGCTAATCTCGCTGGGTGAAAGCAACGTGGGCCATCTTTGTACCTCAAATGGTACTACTAACATCTATTGGACTCGGCGAGGACTTTCCATCTAGAAACAAAAAGCTGTTGTCAAATACCTTACCTACAGGTCCCACTTTTTCGGTTGGCAAGAATTTAAATGTGCAATCCCTTAAAGGATTACGTACCCACGGGAAAATCAAGGTGGGTTTAATCCTAACAATGGGATTCCCTAAATGGCATTCCCTTTCTAGGGTTTATGCATGATGCCATTTTACCAAAGCACGTAAACATGCAGTATACAAATGAAAACGTGACCTAAAGGGACCCCTTTTGTATGCCGGGGTGAGCCTAAAATGACATGTATTTATGTTGAAAATGCGAAACATTGAATTTAAACGTGTCACATCAAATAGGCCAAGCTCCTAGAGAGTACCATGCCAGGACTCTTATTTTTCTAGGGCTTATGAATGCAATGGAGACAAAAAATCAAGAAAAATTAGTTCAATCAGATAAATACATATAACACATTTGTAGTAAAGCAATACAAAGAGGTAAATCAATAAAAGTAATAGAGGGTTGGATCCCTCCCCTCGTGAATGATGTCCCTAATAGGGTGAGGCAGACTCTGTCCTAGATGAACTATTATGGATGCATGAGGCTTGGGTTCACTAATGCATCTAGACTTGATAAGCTCAGGTCCCCGAGCCTTCAGACTTGGAAACCAAGGGTCATCAATTCCAAGGTTCTTTGTCGGTGGCTCGAGCGATTCCCCAGACACTGCTACGCACACGTCGTGTCACGGCTACATGTCTGAGTGAATCTATCAAAAAATCCTCAACCTTCAACTAAAAGCTAAAGGCTATTAACTCACAGCTTAAAGCGGAAGATTGAGTGACCCCTCGAATCATGCTATGCACACGTCGTGTCGCGATCACACGTCCAAGTGGGTCGCCTAATCCTAATAGGGTGGAGTGGCATGACAAGCCACTAAAAGAAAAATAAAGGAGGGATAAATAATAAAGCATATGCACGTATGCTAGTGCTCCTTTTTGGAGGGGAGGGATCGAGAACCAACGCGAGACTCTAGGGTAAAATCCCCCCCTAAAGCAATGCAAAGCGCGGGATAAACATAAATAAGCCATCCATCTATCAAAATCAATCGTACGCAAAGGGTGAGGGAGTGAATTGGTACACGCGAAATGCAAAAATTCTAAAAAAGGAAAAATGCAACTCTAAACATCCAAATGCAATATATGCAAAGGTTAAAAGAAGAAAAAGATTGACTAAATCAAATGTGCTCGAACTCTCTAATTCCCCAGTGGAGTCGCCAATTGTCGCGCTCCATTTTTGAAAAATAAATTAGTTTTGAGAAAAATGATTTTTGGATTATTTGAATGAAAAATGGGTATTTGATTTTTTTGAAAATAAAGAAAATGTGGGTTTAAATGGGACATAAAAATGCGACGATTTTGACCCAAAATAACAATTTAAAAAGAGTTTTAATGAAAAATCAGAGTCGCCACTTGGTATCGAGTTAAGGTGTACCAAGTCATCTAAAAATGAATTTTTAAAGAAAAAGTAGAAAAACCCTTTTAAAACGACTCGAACTCTACGAAAATCAGAGAAAAAGATTCGGGAGTCACATTTGAAGAAAGGGAAGGCAAGGATAAGAATCTAAGGCACCCTTTCAACCTAACCAAGGTTAGTTGCGCGATTTAGTCAAAGATTTTCTTATTTTAACCTAAAGATTTATCACATTTGGATGTACTATATAAATGCAAACTTTAGACCTAAGAGGGTATCGGGGGGATCGAAATTTCTCTTCAAAGTTCACTTGGTACCAATCACATTAATTGTGATGCCCAATAAAGACTCTTCGAAGAGGTCACGAATAATGCAAAAATATGAGACTCTAAGAAAAGAAAAGAAAAGAAAAATAAAAATAATTATACAAATACCTAACTATTACATTCGGGGGGAAGCCTACTACAATCTATGAGGGGGAAACGGAATGAAATAATAACCAAGCTATTACAACTTTGGCATTCAAGTGCCTTTCAAATGATCGAAATTGAAAATAACTATATAAAACTAAAACAAATAAAGTGGATAAATAAATAAATAAATAAAATGAAAACATTCAAAAGGCATGCAATTAAGCACATAAATCACATAGACACATAGGGTCAAATAAAGTGAGAAATAAGAGATCAGGTGTACCTCCCTTGAGTTGGCACCCCTAATGAGGTGAAATTATTTATTTGCCCTCCAAAATAATAAAAAAAGTCAATGCATCATTTTAATCAAAAGATAATCACATGAAACGGGACCATAAAAAAACATTCAAATGACTAAATGGTCAAATCCACTAAATAAGAGCCCAATTGAAAGAAAAGGAAAGTTTAAGGGATCAATTTGATTAGTTTTTCCGATTATTCGGGCCATAGTAGAATTAAATGCCAATCAAGGGGTTAAAAGGGAATTGTTCCTTTTTGCTTTACATGCAAGCTACGTGGGAAAAGCTTTCTTTAACAAACATTTGCAAGCAATTCTGTAACTTTCAGCTATGTGTCGCGCCCCATTTTTTGAAAAATAAATAAATGATTTAAAAAATGTATTTTTTGATTCAATTTGTGATTTGGAAAATGAATTGTGATTTAAAAGGAAAAATGGGTCTAAATGGGGGTTTGAGAATGCGACGATTTGACCCAAAATTATAGTTTAAAAAGGATTTTTGAAAAAAAACGGAGTCGCCACTTGGTAATGAGTTAAGGTGTACCAAGTCACCTAAAAATGAATTTTTTAAAGAAAAAATGGGAAAGAGTAGTAAGAAACCCCTTTTAAACGACTCCTAGTCCATGTAAACCAACGAAAAAGGTTCGGGAGTCACATTTGACGAAGGGGAAGGCAAGGATAAAAATCCAAGGCACCCCTTCGACCTAGCCAAGGCTAGTTGCGTGATTTAATCAAAGTTTTTCTTATTTTAACCAAAGAATTTATTACATTTGGATGCACTACATGAATGCAAAAGAAAGAAAAAATGCAAACCTAAATTCTAAAATGTCTCTTGTAAGGTTTTTGGTCCCAACCACATGAATTGTAGCGGCCAATAAAGGAAAACCTTATAGAGGTCGATTAATGCAAATGATAGCTAAAGTGTAAGTGTGCAAGTGTATAAAAAGATGCACGTGTGAAATTGTATGAAAAATCCAAGTGTTTGTGTGCAAGTGTATGA